GCGAACAACACTTTAAACAATGTGTTAATTGCAAACTTAGAGGCGGACACTGAATACCAGTTCAGTATATCATCGCGTAATAAACTCGGAGAAAGTCTAATGAGTAGAGAGTTTTTAACAGTAAAAACTTTGGCAAATGTTTCGAAACGAAAGTCAGAAACAGTGTTGGCTTCGGCTGATGAACAAAGACTGGGATATAATAATCAATTGATAAGCGAAGATATTATTGAGCTCTCGGTCATTGTCTCGGCGCTAGTTATGGTTGTGTTTAGTATGTCTTTAGTATTGATATGTTGTTATAGAAAGCGAAGAGCAGAACAAGTGATTCAAAAGAAGCCTAACTCTAAAGATATGTCTTCAGCTAATAATGCATTAGAAGACCAACTCTTTACTATCACTGCGTCCACAACACTGGATAGTAGTTGTGATTTCGATACAACTTTCTTACACAATGCCAACAATGATAAGTGCCTTTATGGTGAAAATAGAGGTAATTTATTGGCGATGTTTTTTCAAACTATTGATTTTAACACAATAATAGTGAAACACATAAAACTTTTTACAAACAATTGTTTTCTTTAAATCTTTTTCAGATTCTTTTGATGACTTTGGTATCAATAAAATGTCGCACAATTTTCTCTATAAATCACAGCCCGATATTCTCATTATAAATCAGGTATTCATTAAAACTAATTTATTCATTACAGATATTCTTGTTGTTCAACCATTTATTACCCAATTTTTGTTATAAATAATATAGTGATAAATATTCTATAATGTAATGAATACATACCGGCGTTAAAGTAAAACGTTTTGGGAATTTTAATGATTTATTCAGTGATTTTCAAAAACAAATATATACTGAATGTAAAAGAATGCAAACGATATTTTAAGGGTTGAATACATAAAAAGAAATATATTGAAAAATCGTGAGAAAATGCAAAATGAATCCTGAATTTTGATCAATTTCTTATCTAAATAATGTTATAGATATGAAACGATCGATAGGTTTATACTTTAATAGAGTTAAGTTTATTAATGTATTGTGTTTTGACTGAATACTTATTAAATTTAATAAATCTAATCAATTTTATTAGGAAAGTTATTTAATCATAATTAAATAGCTAATCAACATTTAGCAATTTATAATTATCAGTTCATGTTTAAAGTTTTAGTATTTTTACATTAAATTTTTTATAGTTAACATAGTAATACATTTATGTCAGAGATTTACATCAAATTCAATGGCATTCAATATCAAGTGTTTTATTGATTGACAATATATAACACTTTTCTATGAATTCAATGCAAAGATAATGTCATTTTTTGCTACAAATAAACGTTTTCTCGCTTTGTATTCAGATTTTATTTTCCAAAATACAGTTTTTTATTGCATTTCCTTATAATAGAGTTATTCAATTTTTATACAAAGTTAATAGGATTCACGAGTATTCATATAATATAACACTGTTTTATAGTAAAACTGTTAAAAAGTACAATAATTCTATATCCCATTGAAAAAAATATTTTTAACAATTCGTGTATCAAATGGTTTGGAATGAAGTAAATCCACAGGAATTTACTTTTCCTTCTCATTATTAAGAATTAAGTTTTTCATTATACTGTATATTATTTTGTTGAGACTTTAATTTAATTAAATGACTTGAAATGATATTCACTCTCTTATAAAATGCATTTTCGTTTTATTTAACTTAATTACAATTTGATAATAAACTTAATTTAT